AAGGGAAAGTTTAGGGTAGTGAGAGGGTTGGTGGTGGGTCAAAGGGACGAGTAAAAAATGGTAAGGTTTGGGGGTGGACGCCACCGTGTGCGGTGGAGACGGCGTTTAGGGTTTTGGATATTCGACGGGTTTGGGTGATATTTGAAAGGAACTGGAGGTGGATATGGAAAGGTGAGGGGGAGAGGAACACGGGGTGTAAATTTGGGGTCATTTGGAGAATCGCCGCCGGCGGAGGCGATTTCCGGCCGGCGGCGGACGGCGGAGGGATGGTGGCGTTACGCCGGCGTGCATTAAGGGGTTCTGAGAGATGATTGAGGGGTAGGGGGGGTCTATCCGACACTTTTATATTAAATGAGGAGGGACTTCTCGACCGTTGGATCAAGCAACCTAGACGGCTAGGATTAACTTGACGTAAAACGACGTCGTTTAGTCATTAGGGGGTCAGCACCGGGTTAGACGACGGGTCTTGGGCTCATTGACCGGGTTATTTCGTTTGGGCTCAGCCATTTTGGCCCAAATTCGGGTCTTTTAAGACCAACTTTTCTCTTTTTCTCAAAATTATTTTCTCTTTTCCCTTTTATTTTCATTTTGTATTTTTTATAATTTTCTGACTTTATTAAAATGCAAAATTAAAATAAAGACCAAATTTATTTCCAAAATTAAACTAACTAAGTCCTACTTAAAGCAAACCCATGACAAATTCAACAATTAACAAAAAAAATACAAAAATGGACTATTTTTGTTATTTTCTTTATATTTTGTTTTAAAACAATTTAACTACTAATTAATCCTAAAAATATGAAATTGAATCCTAAATGCAAATGCGAAGTGTATTTTTTTATATTTTTCATATGAATTAAAATGCACAAATAAATGCAAACAATTAACAGAAAATAACACAAAAAATTCACAAAATTGCAGAATAATGAAAGAAGTCATTTTGTTTGAATTTTTGGGAGTAATTCACTTAGGGCAAAAATCACGTGCTCACAGTCCTAATTCGTACTACCCATTACCCCAGACACATTTTCTACCCAAAAACTACCACAATATGGGAAAACAACTACTAAAAAAACACAATCAAAAATACAGAAAGAAAATAAAGAAGAACACAGGAGAGACAAACGTGAATTTGAAAATGGAAAATTAGGGCAAGGACACATACCAGTGAAGATGAGTAGGAACACTATGGAGATTATGAATGGGTTTTCGTCCTTTTTAAGATTCGATCACTAGCCGCTTTTGCCCCTTTTTCGGTCTTTGTTTGCCTCTATTTTCTTTTCGTTCTTTTTTTTTTTGGTTTCTTCTGTTAGATAAGTTTTTTTGTTTTTGTTTTGTTTTGAATGTGTGAGAGATGAGAGAATGCGACGACGTACCTGACAACTTTGCGGTGGGAAAGTCACCGCATAACACACTATGCGACCGCATAAGTGTTACGCGGTGGGTTCAATTAACTTGCTGAAAGGCAAAGAATGCGGTGCACAATGCGATTGCATAGTTGAAATGCTGTCCGCAAAGTGCACCACCTTGTCGAATTCAGAGCAACAATATTAGCCAAACTCACTGCTTTGGTTTGCGACCAAAATGCGGTCCGCATATTTGCAGCAAACTTCACACAGTAATTTTTCTTCCCTTTCTTATGCATTCCTACCCAGTGTTGTGATCTTTTGAATCCCCTACACTCTAACACACACTTTAAATTGCTCAAGTAAATCGATCTATCAAAATTTAAAAATTTAAAGAACAAAAGGGTGTTACCACACATGGGTTACGTCCCATGAAGCGCTTGATTTAACGTCGCGGTACGACGAAGTTGATGTTCCTTTGGATTCACTCAATGGTCGGGCACGGACCATCTTTGAGAGCCATCTTCTCCACGAAATGTTTTTCTCCATCTGTGCCCAAGTAGTGCTTGATTCGTTGGCCATTTACTTTGAATGTCCGAAGCCCATCTTCTGATGCTAGTTCCACAGCTCCAAAACGAGAGATATTGACCACTTTGAATGGACCGGACCATTTTGATTTGAGCTTGCCCGGAAAAAATTTGAGCCTTGAGTTAAAGAGCAAGACCAAATCACCCGACTTGAACTCTCTTTTCAGGAACTTCTTGTCATGGACGAACTTCATCCTTTCTTTGTATACAGCCGCACTTTCATAAGCATGGAAACGGAATTCCTCCATTTCATTGAGTTGTGTTAACCTCAAATTTGCAGCTTCAGTCCAGTCCAAGTTCAACGCCCACATGGCCTTGTGCTCCAGTTCCACGGGTAGATGACAAGCTTTTCCGATGACTAACCGATAAAGAGAAGTACCAATAGGAGTCTTGTACGCCGTGCGATACGCCCACAATGCGTCATCTAGCTTCCTTGACCAGTCGGTCCTGTTTGCATTAACAATTTTTGATAGAATGCTCTTGATCTCCCGGTTGGAAACCTGAACTTGACCACTTGATTGCGGATGATAAGGTGTGGCCACCTTGTGCTTGACGTCATACTTCTTAAGTAGCCCCGTGAAAGCCTTGTTATAGAAATGAGACCCACCATCACTAAGAGTGGCTCTAGGAGTGCCAAACCGAGTGAATATGTTTTTCTTCAAGAATGTGGTCACACTCCTTGCCTCGTTGTTTGGTAAGGCAATCGCTTCAACCCATTTGGATACATAGTCCACAGCTACCAAGATATATTTCATCGCGCAAGAGCTTACAGAGGGACCCATGAAATCAATTCCCCACACGTCGAAGATCTCTATCTCTATCACAAAGTGCATTGGCATTTCATGCCCCTTGGAGATTGAACCTTGTCTTTGACATTGGTCACAAGCCTTGACCATTTGATTGGCATCATGATAGATTGAAGGCCAATAGTAACCACATTCAAGAACCTAAGCCGCCGTTCGATTACCTCCATGATGACCCCCAACTGGTGAGTCGTGGCATGCCTTTAGAATTGGCATAATCTCTTCTTCTGGAACACACCTTCTGATAATATTGTCAGCAAAAACACGGAACAAGAATGGTTCCTTCCAATAGTATTGTCGGCAGTCTCTCAAAAACTTCTTCTTTTGATAGGATTCCAATCCTTCCGGGATAAGGTCACTAACTAAATAGTTAGCAATATCAGCATACCAAGGAGCAAAAGTGCTAGATAGTTCCAATATGTGTTCATCCGGGAATGCATCATTGATTTCAAGATCTCCCTTTGGTCTCCCTGCCTCTTCAAGCCTTGACAAATGATCTGCCACTTGATTTTTAGTTCCCTTGCGATCCTTGACTTCGAAGTCAAATTCTTGCAACAACAATACCCATCGAATCAACCAAGGCTTTGCATCCTTCTTTGCCATGAGATAGCGAAGAGCCGCATGATCTGTGTACACTATCACCTTGGATCCCAACAAATAAGCCCGGAACTTCTCAAAGGCATAGACAATGGCAAGAAGTTCTTGCTCAGTTACCGTGTAGTTCATTTGTGCCCCATTGAGTGTCTTGCTTGCATAATAGACCGGGTGGAGAACTTTGTTGTGATGTTGGACAAGCATTGTTCCAAAAGCTACACCATTGGCATCACACATGAGCTCGAAAGGAAGAGACCAATCGGGTGTGACAATAATAGGTGCCGTGGTGAGCCTTTGCTTCAATTCCTCAAAGGCTTTGAGGCATTTCTCATCGAACACAAATTTGGCATCTTTCTCAAGGAGTTTGCACATAGGATTTGCAATCTTGGAAAAATCCTTGATTAAACGCCTATAGAACCCGGCATGCCCCAAGAAACTTCGAACACCTTTCACGGAAGTAGGTGGGGGAAGCTTAGAAATAATCTCGATCTTTGCCCGGTCGACCTCTATGCCATGCTTTGAAATTTTATGCCCCAACACAATGCCTTCGTCCACCATAAAGTGACATTTCTCCCAATTGAGCACAAGGTTGGTCTCTTCACATCTCTTAAGCACTTGTCTAAGATTGTTAAGACAATGCTCAAAAGAATCTACAACCACCGAGAAGTCGTCCATGAAGACTTCTAGAAAGTCCTCTACCATGTCGGAGAAAATGGACATCATGCATCTTTGAAAAGTGGCCGAAGCATTGCACAAACCAAATGGCATCCGGCTAAAGGCAAAAGTTCCATACGGGCAAGTGAAAGTCGTTTTCTCTTGATCCTCCAAGGCTATGTTGATTTGGTTGTAGCCGGAATATCCATCAAGGAAGCAATAGAATGACCTTCCCGCTAGCCGATCAAGCATTTGATCAATAAAAGGCATAGGGAAATGGTCATTTCATGTGGCACTGTTAAGCTTCCGATAATCCATGTATACCCTCCATCCGGTCACCGCTCTTGTTGGGATGAGCTCATTTTTATCATTTTCGATCACGGCCATGCCTCCCCTTTTCCGCACACATTGCACCGGGCTCACCCAAGAACTATCGGCAATGGGGTAGACTACCCCAGCATCCAACCACTTGATGATCTCTTTCTTTACCACCTCTTGCATTGATGGGTTCAACCGTCGTTGATGTTCCACACTTGATTTCGTCTCGCTCTCCAATTGGATCTTGTGGTCACAAATTCCTGCGGGAATCCCACGGATGTCCACAATTGTCCATCCAATGGCTTGCCTATGCTCCTTCAAGACTTCCAACAATTGGTTTACCTGCACATCATTCAACAAAGAAGAAACGATTACCGGTAAAGTATCATTTGAGCCGAGAAATTTATACCTCAAGTGCGGTGGAAGTGGTTTGAGCTCTAGTTGTGGTGGCTCAATGATAGATGGCTTTGCGGGAGGTGTGGCTCTATTCTCCAAGTCGAGAGAGAGCTTTGCCAGAGCATAAGTGTAGGACCCAAGCCCCTCCAATGCATTTACCGAGTGGATGTACCCATCCATGTCTTCACCATCAAAGTTCACCAAAATAGCCGCCAACGCCTCACCGAGGCATTGTTCTTCCATTTTCATTTAGACTGCGTCTTCCACCTCATCAACAACATCAATCACCAAAATGCTTTCATACTCATGTGGTAGTTTCATACCCTTGCTTGCTTGGAATGTGAACTCTTCATCATTCACACGGAATTTGATTTCATTCTGTTTCGAATCCATGAGTGCTCTTCCCGTGGCTAGGAATGGTCTCCCCAAAATGATGGGGATCTCTTTGTCAACCGCACAATCAAGGATTACGAAATCGGCGAGTAAATGAAACTCTCCCACTTTTACAATCACATCATCAACAATTCCTACCGATCTCTTAATGGAATGATCAGCCATTTGCAATTTCATACTTGTTGGCCTTGGCATCCCTAATCCCTCTTGCTTGTAAATGGCAAGCGGCATTAAGTTAATGCTAGCCCCATTATCACAAAGGGCTCTTGCAAAATCACGCGCCCCGATAATGCATGGAATAGTAAAGGCTCCCCGATCTTCTTTCTTTTGAACGGTGGTTGTGGCAATAATGGAACTAACCCGGTGAGTCATGTTCACCACCTCATTCTTGGTGGTCCTCTTCTTGGTGATCAAATCTTTCAAATATTTGGGAAAACCCGGCATCTCTTGAAAAGCTTCCAATAATGGAATGTTTACCGATAATTGCTTGAGAATGTCATAGAACTTCTCGAGTTTGCTATCATCAACCCTTCTCACAAGTCTTTGAGGAAAAGGAGGAGGAGGTTTAGGAATAGGAGATGGAGATTTTGGTGTCTCTTTCCCCATTTCCTTTACACTTTCCCAATTCACTTCTTGCACTTTCACTTCTTCTGGAACCTTTTCAACTTCAACAACCCTTGGCTCTTCAACCTCAACCTCTTGTTCGGACTCTTCCACTTCAACCACTTGCTCAGTTTCTCCTTGTAGTACCTTCCCACTCCGAGTAGTAATTGCCATGATGTGAGAAGTTGGACCACTTCCACCACCCTTTGGGTTCGCAATAGTGTCACTTGGAAGTGTCCCTTTTTGCTTTGGGTTTTGTTCCCTAGAAAGATCTCTCATTTGCATCTCCAATTTTTGAATGGATGCGGTATGAGAGCCAACAAGCTCGGTCATATTCCTCATGGAATTGTCGGACTTTTCATGATTTTGCAATACCCGTTCAAGCATGCTTTCTAACTTGGAATCACTTGAGGAACCTTGATTTGAATATTGACCCTTTGGGGGAACATAAGGCTTTGAGCTCCAATTTGAGAAGTTGTTATTGTTGTTGTTCCAATTTCCTTGATGTGAGCTACCTTGGTCATTTCGCCATTGTTGGTTGCCTTGCCCTTGCGAGTTAGGCCTCCATTGATTTTGTTGTCCTTGACCTTGGTATTGTTGCCTTTAATACCCTCATTGAGAGTTGTTGACATAATTTGCTTCCTCAAAATCCTCATTTGATATGGGTTGCACATCTTCCACCGCATTTACCTTCTTAGTTTGGTTTTCGGTGAACATCTTTGTCAACACATTGACATTTGTAGCAAGCCCTGCAATCACTTGATCTCTCTCTTGATTTTCCTTGATCATGTTTCTCAAGGAAGGAGAACCATATGTAATTCCACCTGTGGTGTCCTCGGAGTGCCATGCTTTGTTATGCTTTGCCATTTTGTCAAGGATTTGTGTCACCCTTGCGAATGATTTGTCCATGAAACATCCGTCAGCTGCATTCTTGGCTATAGATTGGTTAATAGGATCCAAGCCCATATAGAATTTTTCCAACAAGATAGAATCCGGAAAACCATGGTTGGGAGACCTCACCAAATATAATTTGAAACGATCCCATGCCTCATTTAGATGTTCTCCCGGTAGTTGCTTGAAAAAGAAGATTTTATCCTGGAGCTCAGACTTCTTACTTTGCGGGAACCATTTAGATAAGAATGCTTGGACAAGTTCGGGCCAAGAATGAATGGAGTTTGGTGGCAGATTTGGAAGCCATTTCCTTGCGTCCCCAGCTAGAGAGTACTTGAAGCATCTCAACCTTAGGGCATCATCAGAGACATTGTTCTGCTTATGCATCGCACACACACCCAAGAAGTTTCTATGATGTTGTGTCGGATCATCATCAGTGGAATTCCTGAAAAACCCCTCTGCTTTGAGCATAAGGATTAAACCATGTTCCACCTTGAAAGTTGCAGTGCCAACAGCCGGAGGTACAATAGTATTTGTATCGTCAATGTACTCCTCGATGTCCGCAAAAGGATTTTCTTCCATTTCTGCCTCTATGTCTTCACCATATTCGGACATGTTTTCCTATCAACACCAAGCAAAAAAAGCAAAGTGTGATGGAATAGAATAAGACGTAAAGTAAAGCACACACTAATTAGTAATTCAAAACCGTATTCCCTGACAACGGCGCAAAAATTTGATACGCTCAAATTACACTTTAATAAATAGTGTAAAGCGGTCGGTGTCAAATATAATAACCCAACAAGGTTGGGGTCGAATCAGAGAGGGAATAGGTTTGAAAAGGTTACTCGAATAGTGTGTTGCTCGACTAAAGTCGTAATTCTATCCAGTTAACGGTAACAAGAGTATGAATTAATGGTAACAAGAGTATGAATTGAGTTTGATTTGAAGTAACAGCTAGTTGTAAATGAGAATGTAAATAATTTGATTAAAGAAACCAAGGTTGTGTCCCTTTTAATGAAGTGTAACGCTATCGGTGTTAATATGATATATTTCTAATGGAAGGTCCTTTTGATATGCAAATGATGTCTAAATGACTACCCAATATTTTCCAATAGTTGGGTAGTATTTCCTCTTTATGATTTTTCCAAATATAAAAGAGTTGCAATTAAGAAAAATCAATATATACCAAATAAAACTCACTTATTCCTAAGCGATTCTATTAAACAAGGTTTAAAGCCTTGAGTCTTTGATATTTAATTCTACCAAATTCTAACCCACTTTCCAAATAAAACCCACTTATTCCTAAGCGATTCTATTAAACAAGATTTAAAGCCTTGAGTCTTTGATATTTACTTCTACCAAATTCTAACCCACTTTCCCAAGCAAAGCAAGAATTTAATGGCACTTGTTAATGTTTGCAACCACCAACAATAAATGAAGAATGAGAAGTAAATAAATATCAACCAACCATTATATATATATTCAACGTTAAACACCAATTAAAATAACACCCATTTAGGGTCCACAACCTTAATATTTAAAGTTAGCTACTCATACTAAAATACAAAAGCAAGAGAATATTAAATGCCATAAAGCTTACAAAGTGAAAGATTCTTGACCCAAAAGCTTCCAAAAGAGAGGAATATTTAAGTCTTGTATTGTAGCTCCCAAAATCAGACAAGATTAGCCCACAAAACCCCAATAAATATATTTATAGGGGGCCAAAAATCGGGACAAAAATCGTACAAAAATGCCCTTTCAGGTGAAATATGCGACCGCATATCTGTCGCATAACAGACATGCGGACCGCATTCTTTACATGGCCATCGCAGATTGTAACCCTAGTTTCCAGGCCTTCACCGCATTCATGGTTTGCGGTCCGCATTGCAGAAATGCGACCGCATTTTGCATCGCATTATCTTCCTTCAGCAGCCTTCTTGTTTAATTTGCGGTCCATTATGCGGCTCGCAAACAGGTTATGCGATCGCAGACTGGACCGCATTTTTGACGTTGAACTTTGCCCAGAACTCTATTTTGATTTGCGAACCAATTGTGAATTCTGCGGCTAGCATGTGGGTTTCACGATAGCATTTCCACATTTGTGATGCCTCTTTGCTCTTTTCTCGTCTTTTTATGGCTTTTTGAACTCCTTTTCATGCTCTTAGGTCCTTATGCCTTACACACTGCAAAAACACTAAAATTACATGAGTACAAAAGGAAATTGCTTTTAAAACAAGCTAAAATCTAAGCAATTAGTATCAAATATGCTGAAATTCTCCGGCACATCACCGCGCCTAGATCTGCATTCAAAGCAATGTGGGAACTAACATCAATTGGTTCTTCATTTGGCACTTCCCCTGGGTTTATCGGTGGTATACCGACCCATGCGTTGCTGTTTTCTCCAAGACCTTCATTGTCATGAACATGCGCGTTTTGTGTGCTAGACATGTTTAAGCCTGAGAATCAAAAAATCTTGGCAGGAAAAAGTGTTAAGATAACGTGTGTAATGAGAATCAGTAAGGAAATTATCACTATTATCTTTAGCCCACGGTGGGTGCCAAACTGTTTAACTCGAAAATACGAGTAACAATTAAATTTGATTTGTGATTTTAAAGATATGTGATTTAGTTCAATACCAATAAATAGTCAAGAAATATGAAGTAATATAAAAAAAGACAAGTAAATGAAACCAATACTACTTGACAGTGGTGACCTCGAGACGTTAACCTCGAGATGGCAAAGAGCAGTAATGTAAGAAAAGTAAAGTAAGAACAATAGAGCTAAAGGACAATGCTGATAAACTGTAGGCGAAAAGGTAGAGAGTACATTCCTTGCTCAGTAAAAGATGGTCTTACAAATTATTGGGGTCCCTTTTACATAATAGGAAAATCCCTAAATAAGGTATATTTCCATTTACAGTAAGAATATTCTTGGTACAACTGTCTAACCGCCTAGTACGGAATAATACAATCATATTACGGGATATGTGCCGTGACTTTGGGGATGTGGCAGGAATCTAAATCGTTCTGGTACAAATCCATAACGGTACTATTTCGCGGTAGAACACACCCAACCTCGATATGCATCATGCTTCGTCTTCGAGCTCCAACTTGGTCTAACCCGGACTCGAACTTCAGACGACCTCCCAAACATATAGATCGAAGGCATTCGATCTCGACCGTATACAATGTTGCTGCAATTGAAATGACTGACTGCAAGATTGGCTCAATATGAAAATCTTCTATCATTAACCACGTCAAATGCTATGTATACAATTACAAGGAAAGTTGTGCTTCGACCACCTTATCCCCTATAAAATTCACTTATTGTTAATTTGTGACCAACCTCCCATCAAATTTATTGTCATAATAATCCTCTACCTTTTTTATCTTTCTAAATTGCCTAAAAATAGTAAGAACCACTACATTTTACATTTTCACTTATTTTTATTTTCTCTCTTCTTTACATCTGTTATCTATCCAAACAAAATAGAAAACACCAAAAAGCTACAAAAATGAATATACCAAATGCCACACACAAAACATCCAGTGCCCCTTCACTCTTCAACTTTCTCTCTTTCTTTTCCTTCTCATTTCCAAGAACTCTTTATATCTCTTCCTCCCTATTTCAGCCCGGTTAGCTCCATTTCCCCTTTTACCCTCAATGCCCTTTGCAAAATTACCAAACACTCCCTACCATTCAAGTGAGTTCCATCCATGTCTAATCAGAGGCGGATCTAGGATTTGAAGGTTGCGGGTGCCATTATACATACATAATATACCTACCACTAGCTACAAATACCGAATAGGAAGAATAGATCGATTCAGTTAGTTTGGTTTATTCAATTAGGTTTTTTATTCACAAATAGGTTTGATTTTAGTTCAACTTTTTTATACAATAAAATAAAATAAAAATTTCACGAAAGTAGGCCTCAAATAGAAAATTTTCTTAATTAGTAGCTTAATTACTATATATTATTTGTTTGATTTGATTAAGTGGTCATTGTTCTTGGGTTAGTATTCAATTTAATTGTCAAGTTATATGAAAATTATTCTCAAAGCAAAAGATTCAATTTTCATTCTGTGAGAATTAACTCAAAATATGATGACCCAAAAGGTCAACTCGTATTTTAGAACCCATTTCGGGGTTTCGAAGCCTTCAAGATCTCATTTTCCTTCTCCTCGATTGGCGTGCGCAGTCCGGGAGCTCTTCCGGAAAGCCCTTATGTGAAAATTTTTGAAAAAAATGCCAATTTTGCCTTTAAATTTGAATTTAAGTTGACTTCGATCAATATTTTGAGTAAACGAACCCGGACCTGTGATTTTACTGTCCCGAAGGGTCAGTAGAAAAATATGGGACTTGTGCATATGCCCGGAATTGAATTCTGAAGTCCCTAGCCCGAAATTTTTTTTTTTTTAACAAAATTGTTTAACTGAAAAATA